GGTAAGCTATATATAATGTAGTAGATACCTTTACAGTAACTTGAAAGTGGTAAGTTATATATATAATATAGTAGATACCTTTACAGTAATGTCTAAGTGTTCAGTAATAGTGGATCTAAACGTTACATGGTAGTTTGTATTTACCTTCTATTAGCATATGTTGTATTCATTCTGTAAACTACCAATGTTTTTGTTCAGTAATAGTGGATCTAAACGTTACATGGTAGTTTGTATTTACCTTCTATTAACATGTGTTGTATTCATTCTGTAAACTACCAATGTTTTTGTTCAGTAATAGTGGATCTAAACGTTACATGGTAGTTTGTATTTACCTTCTTTTACAACACACTTATTACTGTTTATAACTTTACCTTAACTGTTAGTATTTATAAACAGTAATTTTACAACACACTTAACTTTACCTTAACTGTTAGTGTAACTATACAAAAGTAATATTTATACAGTCAGAACAGTAACTATACAAAAGTAGTATTTATACAGTCAGAACAATAACTATACAAAAGGAGTATTTATACAGTCAGAACAGTAACTATACAAAAGTAGTATTTATACAGTCAGAACAGTAACTATACAAAAGTAGTATTTATACAGTCAGAACAGTAACTATACAAAAGTAGTATTTATACAGTCAGAACAGTAACTATACAAAAGTAAAAGTAGTATTTATACAGTCAGAACAGTAACTATACAAAAGTAATATTTATACAGTTAAATACAAAAACATTCTACAGCCAGTACTGAAGAAACAGACCTATATACTAGTTGTTACTATATCATTTAATATAATGAGTGTGTTGACAAAATACACTTTTTTGTAGGTCGTTGCAAGCCCTTATGGACCAATTACAGGCGAGAACTCTTGAACTTAGTGGTTTACAAGCCAAAGTAGAAAGTAAACACCAACAGACATTTGAAGAAAGAGAAGCACTTCTTCAAGCAAAAGATAAAGAACTGAAGGGTTAGATTTGATATAAATTTTAGTTTTAACAAGTTTAGTATTAAGTAGTTATACCTTGGCTGTATATTGATGATCGTAAAGTGAAGAACTGGAAATGTTTTTTGTTATTTTACTCGTTGAAAGTTTAATATGAAGTGAATGATGTTAAACCATATTGTTCCGAGAAATTTTCATAGTTGCTGAACTTTATATGAAAATATTTAGAATGTTAAATGTGAAGATAATATGCCACATAAGAAACTGTTTAAACTCTTTCCATATATGGTCATATGATGCGACCAATCTTATAACCACTAAAAGATAAAAAACCTTATAACCCGAGCACTGGGAATGGTGGTGTAACTGAATGAGTGATGTCATCTGGTCTTCAGGAAATGTTTAGTATATTTTCCATGTACTGTTGTAAGTGTGTTTCATTTCCTGTACAATGTGGCCAGCGACGAGAATGTTATGTAAAAAAGGTGTTAGGGATATTTTGCTTTAGAAATGGGTAAAAAAGAAATAAATAAAACTATACTTAAGTGTTTAAGTAAAATAAAGGTGACACCTAGAGACTGATTGAAAAAGATATGTTAAGCTAATTGATTTATACAAACAGTTATGGAAAATTATCTTAAATAGGTAGTAAGTTTTAGAAAAATTAGGGTTCATGCTACATGAAAGAAATGAGCAAAGAATAAAAATGATTTTTCTGACAGAGATGAAACCAATGATCGTAGATCACTGATTCCAGGATCTAGATTGATTCCACAAATCCTTTGGATCGTTTCTAACTGATAATCGTACAATACAAGTTGTAAGTCACTTGTGAACATATATATATATCAAGTTATTTTATTGAATAACGTAATGCACAAGCTACTCACAAAGCATACCTTATGGAGCATCATTATTTAACTTATCCAACCTAACAAGGTTCTAATTTTCCTTTAGTTGTTTTTATAACAATAAATAAAAAAACAAGAAATAAATTACTTACTTTTGTAAGGAAGTTTTAGCTTGCTTTTTTTTATTATAATAATTTTTATTTACTTAAATAATACACCTAAGAAGATATAATAATAACTCACACAAAGCATACTATCCATAACTGTTATAATTTAACTAGCTTTTTAACTATGGTATAAGAGCCTTAAAATAATTCCATGAGCTTCTCGATCCGAACACTAAAAGAAACATTCAAACTGAAAATGAAATATACGCTACTGAAAACAACATAATATAGTCTGTCATTTGATAGTTTAAAACTTTGCCTTTTTATATGTTATAAATGATATATGTTGGAGAGAATAATGGCAAATGGTGAGAGAGAGAGAGAGAGGATGTGACAGGTGGATCTGATTTACTAGTGTTTGTCTCTGTAAACAAAGAGGATTGAAAACTATAAAAATTAGACTTTGCCTTAGTAATATTTATATTATGAGTAATTTATGTTAAACTGTATTTCTGAGAGAGGTGGTAAATAAATTAGAGAATTGGCAAGACCTAGAGAAGAAAGGCCACGATTCTCAAAGAAGGGGAGATTGAAGATTTATTTAAATATTTCCTTTTGAAATTAAGAAATTAACTCTTATATATAATATCAAATTTTGATTTATTAACTATGTATTGATGACAACTTTATTTGTATAGATTGATAATAAAATAGTTTAGAGTTTAAATGTATTTCTGTAGAAGGTTGTGACATGCACACTTTAAACTACCTGTAGCGAGATGGTTAATATCAGGTTTAAATCAGACTTATAATGTTCTTTACTAATCAAAACAACGCTGATTAACTAAGACACTACTACTATGTAAATTCTATATGGTGCTTCTAGACAAAAAGTTTATAATCCAAAACTGTGCATTAATAAATGAATCAAAATCTTTATCTTCTAGCTCTGGAACTAAGATTGCAGCATCAGCAGGAAGAAGCTGAACAGGAGCGGAGTAGACTTCAGATACTAATTCTGCGATTAGAGTCTCGTCTTCAGCAACAAACAAAAGAAGGAGAAGAGGTAATATCTAGTTATATAATTAACTTTCCTTTAAGTCCTTCTGTGTTAGAGTCTGTCTTCAGCAACAAACAAAAGAAGGAGAAGAGGTAATTCTAGTTATATAATTAACTTTCCTTTAAGTCCTTCTGTGTTAGAGTCTGTCTTCAGCAACAAACAAAAGAAGGAGAAGAGGTAATATCTAGTTATATAATTAACTTTCCTTTAAGTCCTTATGTGTTAGAGTCTCGTCTTCAGCAACAAACAAAAGAAGGAGAAGAGGTTATATAATTAACTTTCCTTTAAGTCCTTCTGTGTTAGAGTCTTGTCTTCAGCAACAAACAAAAGAAGGAGAAGA